AGTTGAACCCAGAAGATTGTTTACCTTGCTTCAATTTTCAGGCACTAGCTTATTTTACCATTTGGTTGCGTTAGCGCAAACGTGAACGAGAACTTTCCAGATTGTTTATCCAAAATATTCATCATCATCCATTTCCACTTTGCCGTTGAGGGTTGTGGAGAGAAACAGTTTGCGATCCATTGCTTGATGGACAGCAAAGCCTACTGTCATTGCGTGTCAATGTATAAGCTCTTTAGTACATGTTTTAGTATTTCTGTTACATCTTCTGCATGTTGAACTTAGCCTGTTTGATAGTCTTGTAATCTACTGCCCTTATTGTAGAACAGGCAATGATCGTCAGCAAATATTATTAGCTCATTTATTGTGTTCATTTAATGCTTCCTCTTGAAAGTAAAGCTCCTCATTTTCTGCTTTAAATCAGTGTCTCTAACTACACATTAGGCTACTATTCCTCTCTCCCCCTTCCCCGGACTGTCCCAGAGCCCTCATCCCCACCCAGTTTTATCGAAGCACCTACAGTCCAGTGGAACATCCCAGAGCTCCCATGGGGGTGGGTACGCCTACTTTGGGAAACACTGTTATAAGCAAACTTGTTTACCAAAGACACAAGGCACGGGATATAAGAAGTACCCGTGTGCGTTGCGCGGGCGAGCGGCATATGTGTGTAGATACCTGTGCCAGTCAATTGCTATCCCTCGTCTATGACTATATACTTTGAGAAATAGGAATATGAATTTTGCGAAAGATGCAACAGGTGAACTACGATTACTACGAAGGCATCAAAGCAGCAACAAAAAAAAAGCAGGTTTGCCATATTGGCATTTTTTATGCCAGATCCCACAAATCTGGCATATTTGAAATTGAACTGGCATAAGAAATTTAACTGGTATATTTTGGCATATTTGGATTTTTCCTGGCAGTTAACATCTTTATTTCAGTTTGACTTTGTTGTGATGTCCTGGTACGGACTTTTGGAGATTTGCGCCATTTTTCATTGTATTTGTTGTCTTCCTAAATGGATCGTGACTTCGATAAACCAAGGCCCTCTGTAATTTATGTTAATCTACTAGAATAAATGTGGGATATAAAACCAAAACCCACCACTGATACCAAGTGATTCAGACTGTTCAGAAACTACTCGAGGACAGAAAATAGAGAGGATATAGACCTACTTCTAACTGTGATAGATTTTATTACTTACTTCTACCAATGGCCACGTCATCTAAAAAATGGAAAGCATCTCATGACATTGCAAGTATCTGGTAATCTGGTAATCCTAGTTTCAGCTTCATAGCAAACGGGTCACCCCACATATGCTCCACTACTGTGCCAACGAAAAACAAACGCAGTTCACAGTGTCACACCATGCACTCAACTCAGAAGCTGGGCGACGAAACTACATCCTTCCAGTCTACAAATGGAGCAAAAATGCAACGGCCACCGTCTGGCAAAAAAAAAAAAAAAATATTTGCAACGGCTTAAAAAAAAGGTGGCCGTACCTAGCGTCCATTTTGACCGGAAGAATTATATGAGGGTTAATAAACGGTCACCCCAGCAGTACCCTCATTATTAGCTGGGGAATGGACTTAGGACATTACATCCACCAGCAGGCGTCGCCCCTACAACGACCTGCCTGCCATAGTTAACGACTGTTCACCCAACAGCCATGCAGTTCTTTGGCACGAAGGAGACACCTTGAACTTGGGTTTCGTACTGCCGACTCCCTACTAAGATGTTATTTTATGTTCTGTTATCACAATTAATGTCACTGCACATTGGGCATACCCATGCGTGCTCAGTTCTCCGAAGCAGCAGCCACTCTAAAGTACTTCTACTAATTGTCCCCATGAGAAGCTGGTTATATTGTCTCCTTTCTCGGCCTCGAAGACTGCAAAGACGTGCATCACCATGCTTAACTCCCATGTCACGCAATCGTGTTAGTGTCAGGGATTCCTCATTCTTCACTAGCCCAGTTCGTACAGCGTTGACTATGTCTGCTCTGTCCATACTTTTTCCCGCAATCATTAGTGCAGTGCTGGCCAGTTGGTCTGCTCGCTCATTTCCCTTCACGCCCGCATGACCCGGTGTGTAGATCCAGGTTACGGAGGTTAAGTGCGATTTCCTGATGCTTTCTATCCATTCAGAGCGCATACTGCCTGTTGCTATCTTCTGAAGCATATTATATAATAGTATAATAGTAACTAGAAGAAAATATACCCACGGCTCAAAAGATCTTCAGACGGATCAGAGGCAGCATATTGTAAACTGTGTCAGTGCACTGTTGCACCAAAGAATTAGTAGCATATCAAATCATGAAAAATCCGAATAACACAGGATGAAAACTCCGTCAAAAAGCCAGTCACAGCTTATTACAACAAAGACTTCTAGGAAAAGTAATGATAAAGTTAAAGACAGCCGAGTTGCAACTTGCTGTAGGCATGACCTACCATTGTGCAATACGCACAAATGATCATCTAAATGAAATCATGAAAGCGCATGGTCGGGGGAGCACATTGGAGCACATACAGTTGCATAGAGCTAAATGTTCATGCTTAGTAAAATATATTACATCGCCTGCATTTAAGAATGACCTTATTGATGATTTTAGGAACAAGAAAAATGCCATCATTATAGATGACTTGCAATGACTTAATCCTATCTGAGAAAATGCTTAAAATTTTTACATTTAACAAGGTTTACGCTGTATCTTCCACTGGTTCCAGTGAGGATGACAGTGAAGAATTCAATTTAGAGCTTTTGATGTGAAGTGAGTACGATGTTATACTTTATTTGGCATTTTCTGGCATATTTTGGGTAATAGTTTGACATAAAATGAAGTTTTCTTTCTGGCAACCCTGCAAAAAAGGAAAGTTAAAACTTAGGAAAGCCAGTAGGTCGTCTTCTTTTAATAATGTATTTACTATTGCATTTTTTAAATTGCTGTTTCGGTTAATCTTAGTAGTTCTATATCACTTGGCAAATCTGTTAAATGTAAGCCTTTTCAAACAAGGTAGACGATGTCTGCTTAACAAAACGAACAGAGTTGCATCATAATAATTTCTTTCAGTTGTTTCTTTTCTTCGGCAATGACACGGTGACAGACGCAGGTACACCGAGGGGTGACACACAAGACAACCTAGTTTTTGATTTCTGTTTGTGTTTACTGTTAAAATACACTTCAATATTGTAGTTTATATTACTTTATGCAGTTTATTACGATAATTATTTGCATCCTAATGTAACTACAACTTCTCCTTTTATAGTGTGTATATTAATATGTTTGTTAATGCTGTAGTTATTTTTAAATTAGAAAGTAAACAATAATCCTTCGACTTCGAACTGAAACACAAAATCAACTACATTTACACACTGTCTGTTTCACCAGGGTAACTGCAAGGTGATGAGCATTTTCTTGTTGTCTGCATAGTTCTGAACTAAACCTGCTGATAGGTGACACTTCCGCATATCTCAGTAATCTGCGGTTGGCTGAAGTGTGAATAATTCGAAATGCATCATCCTTGTTTACCATGTGTAAAGAATTTAGAAGATGGCTTGCAATTGCTGATGATGGATATTTTGACTAGTCACCTTATTCGTTGTAGTTTTAGTGTTCTGCATTGCTGTTACCACCCATAGTGAAATATCGTTTGCAACCCGTTTCTCCAGTCGTTGAAGCGTCCTGCCCACATTTGCAGCATTACAGGTGCATTTAAACTGGTAAATACAATTAGATTTTGTGTATGTCAACATTAGTTCTTTTACTGGTGTCGTAGGAATTACGGTGGTTTTAATTCTGGGCACATGCTAAACAAAGACGATGCATTTCAAATTATTTTCACTTGGGCAAACTCGGTTACTGAGATATGCTTTAAGCATCAGCTGTCAGCCGGTTTATTCGAGAACTATGCAGACAAAACAAAATGCACGTCACCTTGCGGTTACCCTGGTGAAACAGACAGTATGTGAATGTAGTGGATTGTGTTTCAGCTCAAAGGATTCATTTATGTGCTTAATTTTAATCAGTTGTTACTGTAGAATGCACCTGGCGAGATAAGCAAAATATGCCAGGAATTAAATTGCACAGTCTGTTTGTGTTTTCTTTGTTCAAATTCACAAAGGCAAAACACTGCTTTAAAAGTAAAAGGTAAAGGACTGTTTTCAAGTCCAGCTATCTCAGGACCCGAACCCTTGTCTTTCTGATCTGCAGGCAGGTGTCTAGCTGCTACACCACAGTTGTTGGCATACTACTGGCTACCTCATCCTAGTCTGTAGAAAACGATATCTTTTCTTCTATTGGTGGATGTTTTGTCCCTCCCCCACCCCCATCTTATATGGTTTAGTCTCCATCTACTATTTTGTGTGCCCTATGGATTCCAGAGGAAGGACGTTATAGTAATTCTTGAGGGTTTTCTGAGTGCATTTCCCCTAACCAGCACATTTTCCAAACATCTTAATTCTCTGTGATTTGATTGAGTGTAGCATTTATCTTTCTGTTGTGCCATTTCAGAACTTCCATTCTTTGCAGCCGCCACTTAATAAATTAGTTATTAGTCATTGATTTTTTTTTTTAGTCGCTGCCTATATTTCCGTTACAAACAACTGTTCTAATGTCATACTAGAGTAAAATTTTATGTATTTTTGATTTAAATAATAACTGTATTTTGAAATTGTCCTAATTCTGTTAAAGCTCTGCTGACTTTATGTAGTCTTATTTCGTCTCAGTCTATCCCTCTGACTTGGTCTTTATTACTACCATAGATATTAACAACATTTTTCTATTAAACATCACTTCACTTGTTGAATTCTTCTTCTGAGTTCATCACTTGTTCAATTCTTCTTCTGCGTTCATCACTTGTTGAAGTAAAGTTTCACCATTTTATATCGTGTTATTAGTTGATTGATTCATTCTTATTATTTCAGTTAGTTTGGGACCTAATTATTGTTACCTTTATCCTGTATGTTTATTGTGGGTTTATGTTGTGAAATGGCAGATTGAGACCATGTTTACCCAGAAACGACAGAAAACTTGGGCCCAACGTGCCTGTGAGGCTGTGCTGACAACGGGTCCTGTACCTCAACATGTGGCTATTATAATGGACGGAAACCGGCGGTTTGCAGCAAAGAAAAGTTTGGCCAAGTCAGAGGGCCATGTGAAAGGATTTGACAAGTTAGCTGAGGTCTGTGTCTTTCCATTTCATGGGTCATTTATTGTAATATAGCTACATTTCAGTGGTAAAGAGAGGTTGGGTCATTTCATTGTAATATAGCTACATTTCCATGGTGAAGTAGTTGGGTAATTTCATGGTAATATTACTACATTTCCATGGTGAAGAGGTTGGGTAATTTCATTGTTATATAGCTACATTTTCATCATGAATTGATTGTCGTTTCATTGTAAGATAGCTACATTTCCACAGTGAAGGGGTTGGGTAATTTATGTTATATAGCTACATTTTAATTGTGAAGAGGTTGAGTCATTTCATTGTAATATAGCTACATTTCTGTGATAAAGAGGTTGGGTCTTATCATTGTAACTTAGCTACATTTTCATCATGAATTTGTTGTCCTTTTATTGTAATATAGCTATATTTTATTGTAATATCGCTTCATTTCCAGGGTGAAGTGGTTAGGTCATTTCATTTTAATACAGCTACATTTACATGGTGAAGAGGTTGAGTCATTTCATTGTAATATTGCTACATTTCCATGGTGAAGTAGTTGGGTAATTTCACTGTCACTGAGGCTATGAGGTTTCACTGCAGCTGTGAGGTTTTACTGTCACTGCAGTTGTGAGGTTTCAGTTTCACTGTAGCTGTGAGGTTTCACTGTCACTGCAACTATGAGGTTTATCTGTCACTGCAGCTATGAGGTTTCACTTAACTGCAGCTGTGAGGTTTCACTGTCACTGCAGTTATGAGGTTTCATGCTATCTGCAACACCTTTGATGAGCAAACAGATACTCATTGAAGAAAAACTTTGCCATTTGTGATTATACCTGCTGCACCAATGTCTGTGATTATATTTGGTGCACTGATGTCTATGATAATATCTGGTGCACTGATGTCTGATAATATTGGGTGCACTGATGTTTGTGATTATATCTGGTGCACTGATGTCTGATAATATCTGGTGCACTGATATCTGATAATATGTAGTGCACTGAGTCTGATAATATCTGGTGCACTGGTGTCTGATATCTCATGCACTGATGTCTATGATAATATCTGGTCACTGATGTCTGATAATATCTGTTGCACTGATGTCTGATATCTGGTGCACTGATGTCTATGATAATATCTGCCCTGTGATGTCTGATAATATCTGATGCACTGATATCTGGTGCACTGATGTCTGTGATTATATCTAGTACACTGATGTTTGTGAAGTCTGTTTCTTAACCTTGAAACATCAAGTTATCTAATGAGTGGCAATGATTTGGAGTGACACTTATTTAACTGGTAATCCCCCAGACTTTAGAATGGTGTCTGGATCTGGGAATCTCAGAGGTGACAGTCTATGCCTTCAGCATCGAAAACTTCAAGAGGTCTGCAGATGAAGTTGCCTGCCTTATGGAGTTGTCACGACAAAAGTTTGCTAAATTGTTACAGGAAAGGTAAGTAGTTAAAATCAGTTGTCCCTTAGCCTTTGTTTGTGAGAACATCATTGTAAGATCATGTCCCGTGCCGGTAAATGTGAACAATCGTTGTTTGCCAGCTCAGGATGAGAACCGCTTTCCTAGACTGTTCAAGGTGAGAAGGTTTTGAAACTTTACCTGGGCTCCCATACTAAAAGGACAGTAAGGTATGTTTTTTTGGAATTGAAGGTGGTAGCTATAATTTTGATTACATCACCCATCAAGAGCTGACTGGTTGATAACTAGAACTTGCAGCATAAATCAGATGTGCCCCCAAGTGTGGAATATTATTTTCTTAGACTGCCGTGTGATCAGACTCAACAGATTTGCTGGACATTTGTCAGGGCGGGTTGTTGATTTTTGCACTACATGGAATTGACCCATCTGTTGGCTGAGCATAGGTGTCTGGGGAGGGGAGGTAGGATCCTCCTGTGGCAGGGCATATTGCTGAACAGTTCTAAACTTGGGAAGTTTTTAGGATACTGACTTCCAGGTCAGAGGTCTATGCTAGGGCTATAGCTGCCATGTCTGGTCAGAGGAAATATTAGATCAAGGCTTTTTGTTCCAGGGTAAATGCATGCTTTTGTCACCGAGTGTTGGCTGAAAGCTCTTCGGCCATTCCCTGCAATATCGGGCAGTGGAAAAATGGTCACTCTCTTGGCCTCACAGGGACGCTCTCAAAATTTCTTACTAACTTGCCTCTGAGTCAAATGGTGTCTTGTGTCCAACTCACGCTGCTTGTTACTTAGACTATACTGCTGCCTCCTGAACAAACCATGCTGGTCCTAAAGCCTGGTCAAGGTCTGTGGTCCCACAACTGTCCTCTCTCATACTAGACGTTTATAGGAATATCGAAACAACACGAGCATCACTTGCACTTGTGGAAAACTTAGTAATACTTGAACTGTCTTGTCAGCATTAAATAGTTGAAATTATCCTGAAAACTTTTCCAAGTTGAAACATTGAAAACAATTTGAAGAGGTCAAATAGGAGCTATCCGCAATCTCTCAAAGAAGAGTCATAGAATAACTCAAAAAATCGTCTTGGTCAGATCTTACTATAGTTGACCACTTTGGGGCCTTGCATGGTTATTGTGCACAGGGTTAACGCTTTTTATGTGCTGCATGGAGTTCTGGGGTTTTAATGCCTTTGAGCTTTTTGTGTGCTGCATGGAGTTCTGGGGTTTTAATGCCTTCATGAGCTTTTTGTGTGCTGCATGGAGTTCTGGGGGTTTTAATGCCTTCATGAGCTTTTTGTGTGCTGCATGGAGTTCTGGGAGTTTAAATGCCCTCATGACATTTTTGTGTGCTGCGTGGAGTTCTGGGGTTTTAATGTCCTCGTGAGCTTTTTGTCTGGGGTTTTGTGGCCCTCACGAGCTTTTTGTGTGCTGCATGGAGTTCTTGGGTTTTAATGCACTCGTGAGCTTTTTGTCTGGAATTTTAATGCCCTCACAAGCTTTTTGTCTGGGGTTTTAATGCCCTCACTAGCTTTTTGTCTGGGGTTTTAATTAGGGCTGTACTGAATAGTGATTTTCACTATTTGGCCGAAAACGAATCGCGTGACCAACTTTTTGGCACAATGCGAATACAAATAGTGCATTATCATCATCAGGTGCCTTGCAGACTGGCGTGGGCGATTATGTCTCTTCACAATCTGGGATCTCTTGCAGCATGAATTAGTTCATGTGCTGAGACACCGCCACGCCATGCAACAAGACTGTTAAGAATCTTCTCTCGTTGTCTTCCTCTATCCCTCCTTCCACAGATCTTTCCAGTGGTCACCACATGTTCCATTTTCCCTTTTCTCATAACATGGCCGAAAAATGATGTCTCCTTCTGGTATTTTAAGCATTCTTCTATAAAACCACATCTCTGAGGCCTCAAGAAATTGTTTTGCCTGCCTACCGATTGTCCAGGGCTCACAGCCATATGTTAAAACTGGATGTATGTAGCAAACAAGAAATTCGTTTCTAACCTTCAATGACAAGGATATATTGCATAAGAAGTTCTTCATTTTATAAAAAGCAGTTTTTGCCTGTCCTATTTTGTTTCTTATTTCAGTAATGCATCTTTCATCTGATGTTATCCATGTGCCCAGATACCTAAATTTCTGTACTTGTCCCAAAAAAACACAATTGACTTTTATTACACATTAAGGAATAATTCTTTTCTTTGAGCACCATTACTTCTGTCTTCCCACTTTTTAAACTGAGGCCCATTTTTCCACTTTCGAATAGTGTATAGTGTATAAAATAAATCTTTTAAAAAAAAAAAAACATTCATAATGTCGAATGTATACTGAAATTTTACTTCACAAAATGTAGTACAGAATAGTAAACATTTAAAAACATTTTATGTTTTGCATCCTTCAGTCAGTCAGTCTGTGGTAACTAATACCTAGGAATGAAAGTATTTTTAGTTTTATAACAAGTAACTAAACTTGTAAATTGTCACTGACAGCTTAGTTAATGCATGAAAGTGACTTAGGCAACATCAACTATCGCAGTGTATGCAGAAACGGGTGTAAGGTAACCACTATTTGTATTCGGCCTGACCGCAAGGCCAAATACCGAATAGTTATTAGGCCCACTATTCGGCCCCGAAGCGAATATTCGGTACAGCCCTAGTTTTAATACCATCAATTTGTGTGCTGCATTGAGTTCTGGAGTTTTAAGGCTTTTTCGAGCTTTATGTGTTAGTGGATTTGGGCATAGTCTGATTCAGCTAAACTTCTAGACTAACAGTAGTTTGTTTCTGACTTGACTAACTGCTGCATTTGACAACTGCCCATGAGCCAGCACTAGCTACTACACTACAGTGATTGATTCTATTCAAAAACATGTTCACACTTGTATAAACACATGCTCAAGTTGTCACATTCTGTCCAAAGAGACTTGATTCATCAGCATGGGGTCTGTGTCCGCATCATCGGAAACATTTCTTTGCTTCCCAAAGATCTACAGGAGCTCTTGGCTGAGGCCGTCTGCATGTCTGCACATAACAAAAGGTGGGTCATTCGTTTGAAACCTGTGGTGTTGTGTATTTTGGGTTCTATGAAGTTATGTAAAAATTATATATAGAGCCTTTTCTGTGCCTTGAGACCTATTGAGTATATCATGCTTCACTCTCCCATACCCTCTCCCAATATTTTCATGGACTCATTGGCACTCAGTGCTGGGTGAATACTTTTCCCTTTACTATCCGGTATTGTCCCTGGTGCCAATATTAGTTGGAGTACATTTGTTTTTTAACTGAGGAAATGGCGTCATGAGCATTGAGTCTCCAGACAAGTGTGTTAGTTATTGTACTTGGTTTTTTTTTTCTATGTATCTTTACTTATTTTAATTTATGCTTTATAAGTGTCAACCACTATTGCCTCATACAGTTTTCCTTATCACTCACCCAGAAATGTAACCCTCAGTATAGTTAAGAAAGCAGAAATGGTATAGTTACCAATGACTCAATGTAGCGTGTTTGTTACAAGTGTTCAGTGTTGCATTTGAATTTTAAATGTTCATTTCATTATATGTTATGCTTTTCTCCCATTTCTCTTTCTCAGTATGTTGTCATTTGTTGGTATTAACCTGTCTACTGTCAGCTAATCTGTTGCACCACCTTTCAGATTTACCAAAAGCAGAAGTTGCAAAACTTTTCTGCACCAGATTTGGATATATTGTTTATCTTTGCTGTTTATGTTTGTTGATTTCTGACCAGAACAGTGATGTAATGCTCATAGCCTGAGAAAGTCGAGGGTCAGACAGTAGGAAGATGGACATGTGACACTGAGGATACCTTGGACATTACAAGGACACATCACAGCAATTGGCAGTGGATTGAGAAACTTTATTTGGCAGATTGTTTTCTACAGAATCCAGTTAATTGTGAAAAAAAATTGAAAGTTTTTTTCCTGGGTTGCTTGAGAGCCTGTCATTCATTGGGAGATGACAAGCAGGAGTAGAAGAGCACATATAAACTGTGCAGTTGTATGAGCTAGGCCGATACCAGATCTTCCATCCACTCGACCAAACTTTATAAAAGGTAACCTGCTCGTAATATAATTGTAGTGATGTATGTATTGTCTATTTTGAGTGGTGAAAACAGTTTTAACACCATTTTCTGACCTAATTGACAATTTTTGCAGGGCCATTTTGAATGTGTGTTTTGCTTATACAGCCAGGGATGACATGTGTATGGCAATGCAAGAGCTGGCAGTGGGTGTCAAAGAAGGGTTCTATTAGACAGAGGTAAGTTCACTAATGGCACACACAATATTTTGACTGGCACAGTTGGTTGTATCTCGCCAGCTACATTACCACACAAGTGAGTTGGCCACTTCTACTGTATTGTTGTCCAGCTGTCGTAGACTGTTACATAGATACAGATGAAAGGGACACATCTCACAATGCCATGTTACTGTGATGGAATGAGAAATACATTTTTCTTCTAGGACTTTTTTTCAGTACCAGTTGTTTTTAGAGATGAAGTGGTAGACATAAGGGTGATGCGGGATAAGCTGCATATAATAGCATGAGCTGGTTGACACAATCCATTGGGGGATCAAGAAGCAGAACGTACCAGTGAATTAATGACATTTTATTTTAAAAGGGTTCAGTAGAATGGAAGTATGTAATTTCATTGTCTTTCTATTCATATTATTTTCTTTCTTAGCAAGTTTCTCATCTTCTGATTGCTTCAAGGGTTCCTTGACAGGTCATATTTATGTGTGTTACAATAAAATAAAATACTTGAGGTTAAGAAGAAGAAGAATCAGTGGCTGTGAATTTCTCATATTTCTCCTTATGATTGCATCCCTGATTTATACAGACAGTTGAGTTCTTATGATAGACTGTTTTTGTGTGCTTGTGTTCCTGTTTAGTTCCATCAAACTTTTGGGTCTAGTGTTAACATATGGTCTCAACAGGCTGTACAAGAAACTGTGTTGTATGACATGTTCTGTAGTTTGTTTTGCACAGATGAAAACTGCATATACTAAAGCTTTTGTTTGTTCTGTCCTGTCCTGTCCTGAGCCATAGATAACCTGTCCTTGCTGGTTAAGTAGGTAGTGGTCATAGTGGCCAGATTCTATTCTTCTACTGGAATGGACATAACTAAATAATTTCATTGTCTTCCTGTTCATATTGATCCCCTTTCATTGAAAGTTTCTGACACTTCAGTGATCCCAAGTGTTCCCCAACAGTTCAGATTTGTCTGTGTTACAATGATATGACTTGTGAAAGTAATATTTCTGAAAATAACTTTGAGAAGCTTTACATACCTTTGGGATTTCATTTCATTTCAGTGACATTTCTGAAAGTTTGTTTGAGAAGTGCTTGTACACCTGCCACTGTAGAAATGTTGATTTGTTGATTCGGACATCAGGAGAAGTCAGACTGAGTGACTTTCTCTTGTGGGAGGTAAGTTTTCTTGGCATGAAAATCTTTGATCTGTCTAATAGTAGCAGCAGCTATAGTAGCAAAATCAGTATTAGCAACAACAATGATAGCAGCATCCGTAGTAGCAAAATCAGTATTAGCAACAACAATGATAGCAGCATCCGTAGTAGCAAAATCAGTATTAGCAACAACAATGATTGCAGCATCCGTAGTAGCAAAATCAGTATTAGCAACAACAATGATAGCAGCATCCGTAGTAGCAAAATCAGTATTAGCAACAAAATAACAGCAGCATCAGTGATAGCTACATCTGTAGTAGCAGCATCAGTAGTAGCAACATCAGTGGTAGCAGCAGCATCAGTGGTAGTAGCAACATCAGTAGTAGCAACATCAGTGGTAGTAGCAACATCAGTAGTAGCAACATCAGTAGTAGCAACATCAGTAGTAGCAACATCAGTAGTAGCAACATCAGTGGTAGCAACATCAGTGATAGCTACATCTGTAGTAGCAGCATCAGTAGTAGCAACATCAGTAGTAGCAACATCAGTGGTAGTAGCAACATCAGTAGTAGCAACATCAGTGGTAGCAGCAGCATCAGTGGTAGTAGCAACATCAGTGGTAGCAGCAGCATCAGTGGTAGTAGCAACATCAGTGGTAGCAGCAGCTGTAGTAGCAGCATCAGTAGTAGCTGCAGCATTAGCAGCAACATCAGTAGTAGCAACATCAGTGGTAGCAGCAGCATCAGTAGTAGCTGCAGCATTAGCAGCAACATCAGTAGTAGCAACATCAGCAGCAGCAACATCAGTAGTAGCTGCAGCATTAGCAGCATCAGTAGTAGCTGCAGCATTAGCAGCAACATCAGTAGTAGCAACATCAGCAGCAGCAACATCAGTAGTAGCAACATCAAAAGCAGCAGCAGCAACATCAATAGTAGCAACATCAGTAGTAGCAGTATGAATAGTAGCTACGTCAACAATAAAACATCAGTAGTGGCTGTTGCGGAGGAACACAATACTTAGTATTTGCCCTATCTTTTTGAACCACTAAAGTCTGTGGTGCCAACCTCAGCAGTGGCCAGGTGGATTTTGCCTAATGTTTGAAGTTCTGGTGTCAACCCAGACTAGAAATGGACACTTGAGATTTATGTAGGGAAACACCTTTTCATGTGCCATTATCCCTAATGAAGTACAAGTTCTCATTCAACTAGTTCTGTAAGCATCCCTTGCCATCTCCTGCAGATTACTCCATGAACTTAGGATTAGTGTTTGTGTCATACTTTTTTTAATTTCCTTTATTTTAATGCCCCTCCCACCCCCTTTTTTCATTTTGTATGTGTGGTTCCCCCTCATTATCTGTCTAAAAACAGTCCATTTGCTTGTACAGCTGAATGATAAGTTGTTTTTATTGCTGTTGATAGAATCACATTGATCTACTGATTCCTTCTGATGCAACTTGAAGAAAGATTAATTTCATTCCAGCAAGCAAGTTTGTTTACCTGCCAATTAAACCTGCTAGGAAACTGTTAGATATTATTGATCTCTCAAGTCAAATCAACACTGTGTTGTGGACCAGAAGCATGAAGCGTAACCAAACCAGTTGCAAATAAACTATAAACAAGAACTGATCACTTGAAAGATTTATTGGGATTCAATTGTTTTGAAAAAATAACTAATGTGGAAGAGGATATATGGCATACTAAAGGGGTTTTAAACAAGCCAAAAATGAACAGGCACTCAGAAATAAACTACAGGACATTACTTTTTAAACTACTGAATTCTGCACTAGAAATCTCCACAGGACAAGGCAGCATGTAACTTTTTATACTTGTGGGTTGTAACTTTAATTACAAAAGTAGTATTTTGTATTTGTCTGCAGAGCTCTTTTTCCTGTCTAGCTTTTGTAAAAGTGCTATGGCCAGAATTTAGCATCTGGCATTTGTATGCAGCCATCCTTCACTATCAGCGTAACTGCAGCAAAATTCAGGTAACTGCTTTTTTTACAGAAAAAAATTCAAATTTTTTTTATTACTTTATGTACTTTGTATAAATTATTTACTTATAACTCCTTCAGTCCCAGAATGATACAAGAAGGCCAGTAATGATAATAATATTTCAGCTGTACTCATTTCACAAATATATCATGAAAATCGCCACTGTGTAACTAGCATTGTGACAAATGTCAAAATATTGATTACTCCATTTTTTAATGCTAGGCTGATATCATATTTTCCACATCTTCTGTAATTTCCTCATATCCTGTCTACTTTACTTAGCACAGCTTTTCCTCACATCCTGTCTACTTTACTTAGCACAGCTTTTCCTCACATCCTGTCTACTTTACTTAGCACAGCTTTTCCTCACATCCTGTCTACTTTACTTAGCACAGCATTTCCTCATATCCTGTCTACTTTACTTAGCACAGCTTTTCCTCACATCCTGTCTACTTTACTTAGCACAGCTTTTCCTCGCATCCTGTCTACTTTACTTAGAACAGCTTTTCCTCACATCATGTCTACTTTACTTAGCACAGCTTTTCCTCACATCCTGTCTACTTTACTTAGCACAGCTTTTCCTCACATCCTGTCTACTTTACTTAGCACAGCTTTTCCTCATATCCTGTCTACTTTACTTAGCACAGCATTTCCTCATATCCTGTCTACTTTACTTAGCACAGCATTTCCTCATATCCTGTCTACTTTACTTAGCACAGCATTTCCTCACATCCTGTCTACTTTACTTAGCACAGCATTTCCTCATATCCTGTCTACTTTACTTAGCACAGCATTTCCTCACATCCTGTCTACTTTACTTAGCACAGCATTTCCTCATATCCTGTCTACTTTACTTAGCACAGCATTTCCTCATATCCTGTCTACTTTACTTAGCACAGCATTTCCTCACATCCTGTCTACTTTACTTAGCACAGCTTAACGATGCTTTAAAAATACAGCTGGTCTAAAGGTTTAAAACCGTCAGAATCATTAATGTGGAAATTCCTCATAGTACATTATTGTTAAAAAAATTCAATGAAAGGCATCATTTGTAGTATAACACATGAAGTGATCTGTATACACTGTTTTTTAATGTGTCATGTTTCATGTATTTTTTGACTCTGATCTGTTCAGGCTTGATATTTACTAGATCTGCCTAGTGTTTCATCTTATCCAAGAATTGTTTCTCACAGCAGAACAAATCTTTATTATTAAATCACATAATCTAGAAGTACACTGCAAGACTAGTAAATTTAAAAAATTTAAAAATATTGCATTCTGCAGATTGTACGCCAAAGCTACTTAATTGAGCGTGAAAGATTACAAAGAGAAGCCGACTTTGCCTGTGTGGTGGAAGAATCAAACATGGAGAAACCCCCCAACCACAGTGGTGCAGACAAAAGCTCCCATCCTACCTCTTTCAACATGCCAGCGCAGAAGAACATCCAGAGCTGTGTGCAGCAGTATGCAGCAGAAAGAGAACAACGAACACAAGCATTCCTGGCATGTCTCTACAGACGGCGTGAAGACTACATCAAGAGCTTGCTGCCAGCTCACCCCCTTATGGGATCCAAACCAGCACTGTCAGTCACATTGAGCTGAGACCAATTATTGATTCATTTCTGACAGACTATCTGTTACACTAGAGTATTTATTGACTTCTGGCGGCCAGACAACTATCTGTTACACACTAGAGTATTTATTGACTTCTGACGGTCATATAACTATCTGTTACATTAGAGTATTTATTGACTTCTGACGGCCAGACAACTATCTGTTACACACTAGAGTATTGATTGACTTCTGACAGCCAGACAACTATCTGTTAAACACTAGAGTATTGATTGACCTCTGACGGCCAGACAACTATCTGTTACACACTAGAGTATTTATTGACTTCTGACGGTCATATAACTATCTGTTACACTAGAGTATTTATTGACTTCTGACGGCCAGACAACTATCTGTTACACACTAGAGTATTTATTGACTTCTGACGGTCATTAAACTATCTGTTACACTGGAGTATTTATTGACTTCTGACGGCCAGACAACTATCTGTTACACTAGAGTATTTATTGACTTCTGACGGCCAGACAACTATCTGTTACACACTAGAGTATTGATTAACTTCAGACGGCCAGACAACTATCTGTTACATATTAGAGTATTGATTGACTTCTGATGGCCAGACAACTATCTGTTACACACTAGAGTATTGATTCATTTCTGACGGTCATACAACTATCTGTTACACACTAGAGTATTGATTCATTTCTGACAGCCAAACAACTATCTGTTACACACTAGAGTATTGATTCATTTCTGACAGCCAAACAACTATCTGTTACACACTAGAGTATTGATTGACTTCTGACGGCCAGACAACTATCTGTTACACACTAGAGTATTGATTGACTTCTGACGGCCAGACAACTATCTGTTACACACTAGAGTATTGATTGACTTCTGACAGTCATACAACTATCTGTTACATATTAGAGTATTGATTGACTTCTGACGGCCAGACAACTATCTGTTACACACTAGAGTATTGATTGACTTCTGACAGTCATACAACTATCTGTTACATATTAGAGTATTGATTGACTTCTGACGGCCAGACAACTATCTGTTACACACTAGAGTATTGATTCATTTCTGACGGTCATACAACTATCTGTTACACACTAGAGTATTGATTCATTTCTGACAGCCAAACAACTATCTGTTACACACTAGAGTATTGATTGACTTCTGACGGCCAGACAACTATCTGTTACACACTAGAGTATTGATTGACTTCTGACGGCCAGACAACTATCTGTTACACACTAGAGTATTGATTGACTTCTGACAGTCATACAACTATCTGTTACACACTGGAGTATTTATTGACTTCTGACGGTCATACAACTATCTGTTACACACTGGAGTATTTATTGACTTCTGACGGCGAGACAACTATCTGTTACACTAGACTAGAGTATTTATTTTCAGACGGCCAGACAACTATCTGTTACACACTAGAGTATTGATTGACTTCTGACAGTCATACAACTATCTGTTACACACTGGAGTATTTATTGACTTCTGACAGCCAGACAACAATCTGTTAAATGCTAGAGTATTGATTGACTTCTGACAGTAGACAACTGTCTGTTACACACTAGAGTATTTACTTCAGACTGCTAGACAACTGTCTGTTACACACTAGAGTATTGATTGACTTCTGACAGTAGACAACTGTCAGTTACACACAACACTAGAGTATTGATTGACAACACACAAGATGATGTGAGGGAGATTTCCTTTCCATCAGTTTTGTTAATACAAATATAATATCACATTAAGCCCAGTCTCATGTTTTGTGTGATGTTTTTTGGCAGGCAGCTAGCCATTCTGCAGAGAGAGAGAGAGAGAGAAAGAGCCGTATGAAATAAAAACTAGTGCAATCTCTTGTCATAAAAATATTAAATCAGAGATGTTACATATATAAGCTGGGACTGCTTTCAGTCAAGGAAATGTAATGAAAGGTTCATAGTTATTGTTTTATTCATAGCAGTAGAGTACTAGAGATTTTAAATATACATTGAGACTCCTTTCAGTACTGGGAATATAGTACAAACATGTTAAATATACTCTTGAGATGCCTTTCAGTACTGGGAATATAGTACAAACATGTTAAATATACTCTTGAGATGCCTTTCAGTACTGGGAATATTGTACAAGAGATGTTAAATATACTCTTGAGATGCCTTTCAGTACTGGGAATATAGTACAAACATGTTAAATATACTCTTGAGATGCCTTTCAGTACTGGGAATAGAGTACAAGAGATGTTAAATATATGCTGACTCCTTTCAGAAATGGGAATATAGTACAAAAGATGTTAAATATATGCTGAGACTCCTTTCAGAACTGAAAATAAAGTACAAGAGATGTTAAATATACTCTGAGACTGCTTTCAGTACTGGGAATACTGTATAATACAAGAGATATTAAATATATTCTGAGACTCCTTTCAGTAATGGAAATATAGTACAAGAGATAAATATACTCAGAGACTTCTATCAGTAATGGGAATACTGTATAGCACAAGAGATATTAAATATACTCTGAGACTCCTATCAGTAATGGGAATATAGTACAAGAGATGTTAAATATACTCTGAGACTACTTTCAGTAGTGGGAATACTGTATAGTACAAGATATGTTAAATATACTCTGAGACTCCTTTCAGTAATGGGAATATAGTGCAAAAGATGTTAAATTTACCTTTCAGTAGTAGGAATACTGTATATTACAAGAGATGTTAAATATACCCTGAGTCTTCTTTCAGTAATGGCAATATAGTACTAGAGTTGTTAAAAATACGCTGTGACTCCTTTCAGTAATGGGAATATAGTACTTCTCTCCCACCTTGTACCTCAGTGAAATGTTGGAGATGTAACGTTTGTTGATTAGCGCTGTCAAGAGCTTTATTAAGAATGATGTTCATTTATGTAATGCCATCACTCCATATTTTTAGAGGTCTTCCACCCGCTCTTTACCCACTGTAATATTTCAGTGTGGCAGATAGTACCAGGGCATTCTTGTTAGGTGTCCAAACCACTTCATTTGTTGTTCTTTAATGACCTGTAAGACTGGCTTTATTTCTAGCATTCGTCTGATTTTGTGATTTGAATATCTTAAACAAAGAGACACAATGCTGACAATCTACCAGACCTGAGCATTAAATGAAACTACGCTATAAACGGATCTGTGTCTTGAGCATGAATATACTTTTCCCATAAAAATTGCTCTAGTTTCGTTAAATAATGGAAGGCAGAAGTCTACCAGCTCATTCATTTAATCAGTTTGTGTTACTTTTTTTTTCCCCTTGCAAACGTTGTAACATCCAAAAGGTATTTGCATGGAAGCCCTGGCCACTAATGATTAGCCCACAGCATTTCAGTCAGTTACATGTACCACATGTTCTGACACTCAAACAAGGTCACAGTCAGTTACATGTACAACATGTTCTGACATTCAAACAAGGTCACAGTCAGTTACATGTACCACATGTTCTGACATTCAAACAAGGTCACAGTCAGTTACATGTACCACATGTTCTGACATTCAAACAAGGTCACAGTCAGTTACATGTACAACATGTTCTGACATTCAAACAAGGTCACAGTCAGTTACATGTACCACATGTTCTGAAATTCAAACAAGGTCACAGTTGAATGTTGAATTAAAAATCAACAATCATAGCACTCGGGACAACCCCATAAGCGCTCTGTCCTCATCTTCAGCAGCAAACGAAGAGTTCCAATTCGATGGCACCAGTAACTGTCTGACTGTGTATCTATCTCGCCCTTCCCTTGAGTGTTAAGCGTCGGCCAGATCCCCTTTTATCAGAGTTCCCTCACAATGTCTAGCTTGTCATACATCAATTCACCACTAAATGGTGCAAAACTGGCCAGTCTTTCTGCCTCACAACGGCGTGACCTGGAAATAATATCCAAAGGATACTAACTACCTGGGACCTCTGAAGTGATGCTTGTCACTCTTCACGGAACATACCTGTTTACACCTTTCTTAGCATGTTCTGTGAGTGTGACAATCACGGCATGTGTGAACAGCTGATCCTCAAGGCAGCAGTGACTGCCTCTACCTCCATTCTCAAACTAGACGTGATATATGCCAGGCTTTGTTGCACTAAGCAACCTCCATTCACCTTTGCTATAAACCCCTATGCACTCATCTGTCCCTCAACACAGAGCCTGTATAGAAAATTACATCACTTGGGCGGAAATTGTCATGAATCATTTGTTGAAATTCTGATTCTGCAGCGCCTGTTGGCCAGTCCCTGCACTCACGACCCAAAGTGTAAGAACCCTGCACAAGTCTGAAACTTGCTCGAACACTTTGACCCACTCTTCACCTTGCACAAATTTATCAAGCCTGCACACATGTCTGATTCTGTCTTAAGCTTGCGCCATCCATGACCTTCCTCTTTTCAGTCTGTGACCCTTAGATGCCCAGGGCTTCATGCAAGAGGTGCTTCTTGTCTGCAGCTATTCTGAGATACGACTTTTCTTGCTGAACTTTATACATCTCTGCAATAGTAGGCAGTACAAGTATATATCACATACATACCACCGGGGTATCTCGTGTACATCCCTGAATTATCCGCATGGCTTCATTCTGTATGCGTTCAAGTTTTATCAGCTGACTTTTTGTAAGCATTCCAAGTCCATAATCTATCACCAACAGGATCACATGCTGGAACATTATGAACAGCATTTTTTGTTCCACGTCCACTGCTGCCATAATCTTGAGTCCTTTTTGGCATTTTACCGCAACTGCCTCCACGTGATCCCTATAGGACAGACTTCTTTCAAAAGTGATACCCAGGTACCTCAGTTTGCTTTCTCTTTGGATGTTATTATTATTTGTGAGGATTGCAACATTAGCTCTTACAATTCTATTGTCCAGAGAGCACCACAAAACAGCTGCCTTTTCTGAATTTATGACAGCACTCATTTCTGCACACCAGTCAGTCACTTTGTCCACAGTTGCCTGCAGCTCTTGGGCTATCTGTTGCCTGTTAC